CTCACATGGCCTGCTCACATACTCACATGTTCGCCACATGTCTTATCACATGTCTTAGCATTAAACGGTACCAGTTTACTGGCCGTGACATGCCCCTGCCAAAATCAAGCGGGGTGGCCATTTTGGTGTCCTTACAGGAATGTGGTTTTTTTCAGCCTAGAACCGTGCACAGGGCAACCAACTCTGAAAAGCCACGGGTCAAAATTAGGTTTGCGTTCCACTTCGTCGAACGCAATAAACAATAACCTTATTTGGCGCCAACATATACTCAGATATTTGTCCACTGACTTAAGCTTGTTTGACCTGCACATATATTTAGTCAATATTATTATGCTTATTAAAACTTGAAATGCTACCTGACTGGAATCCTGTGAACTTTGGCTGATTCTTAGATATTACACAAGACTGGTAAATTAAATCATCAGAGAGAGTTGCTTTTCTTCACTCTCCATTCCTAACGTTAGTTATTAAGTCATTTTGAGTGATGGACCTGTTTGTTTTGCAGGTTTACTACCAAGCCTGTTAATGAAAACTTCTGGTACTATCTTTACAGCCCGTGTGCCGAGTTCAATGAGTTTGTTGGTCAAAACCAAACTGGTTATTTACCATGTGTTAATGCATCCGTAAGTACATGTAGATCTTAATTAGGAAGATAATTTCTAATAATTTACAAGTCCATGAAATATTGTTTTCACAATGATGTTACGATAGCCATGTTTATGTCACAGAACAATGAAATGGCGCAGGGTTTTCAAAATAAGCCAGCATCCAATGCAAGGCTATAGGAGGTGCGGTGGCCTCAATTGGTTAGTGTGCCTGATGTCGGAGGTTTGAGCCGTGGCTGGGGACATTGTGTTGTGTTCTTGAGCAAGACACTTTACTCTCACAGTGCTTCTCTTCACCCAGGTCTGTAAATGGGTACTGGTGAATTTAATACTGGGGGGTAACCCTGGGATGGACTAGCATCCCATCCAGGGGGGGAGTAGAAATACTCCTGGTCGCTTCATGCTACTGAAACTGGGATAAACTCTAGCCTGATGAGCCCCTTGGCTGGTATGCAGACTTAACCTTACCTACCGATGCAAGTCTGACTGATCGACTCCTTGGAGCATTTGCGCTGGCAAGATGGTGCTATCTTACCCACTCTTCATTACCCACTGTGTCCCGGAAAAAATAGTGTTCTCTTTTTTTCATATAATAAATCCTTCATTGATCAAGCTGTTCAGTTAAGATGGCTGGATATTGGCCTCATTCTGATTCTTTATTTACGTGTTAACATGGACTTGACTCTGTCTCTGTCCATAAACACGCAACAAAGAACTTGGCCAATATCCAGCCATCTTGACCTCACACTTGGCCAATAACACATGTATATCCAACTGCAATAATTTCCAAATCTTTAGGTTGCAAGAATGACAAATCTGTCTACACACAGATGTGAAAGTCTCGGTGACAAAGCCAGTGCAACATTTAAAAGTGCCAACATTAGTGAGTTCATCAAATCAAATCTTACCTTAAATTTTAGGTGAGTATTTTCATTATATGCATGATTTTGGCTTAAATGTTATTTTGTTTACTGCTTTATTACCAATTTAGCTTCCTGGCTCGACTAATTATCATGTCCCTTATTCAATTTTAAAATTATTTTACTCTTTGTTTATTTTACTTTGTACAATACAGCTACTTAAATTAAAGGGACACTGTCACAATAATTGTATTTGGTTAAAACTGTTAGAAACTCATGAAATGGTACCTAAAGTTATGTAATAAGGACATACCAGTAATTAGCTCTAGCTAAATGATTAAAAGCAATTTCTTGAAGAAAGTCCACACTGCAGCAACATTTTTGCAAAATTTCAATGATTTTCGAGCCAAACTTGAACCTTTGAAAAACAGACGTCCTGACACTTTTAAAAAAATTTATCCATATCACAATCCATTTTGATCCTCACCATTGTTAGCCATCCTCACTTTCTAATGGGTTCTAATCATTTGTTGAGTACTGCTTTACAAAATGAAACCATTATTGCTCAGCTTCCAGAGATCGATATATGTTTTTGAGATTTCCAAAATCATGCTAAAAATGGTGGCAGTGTCCCTTTAACCCTGTTAATATGGTCACCAATTGGCCATGATGATTGGTCAGATATCTCAAAATTACACTTCTAAACAACTGTTCTTTAATTGGCATCCAGAATGCAGATATAATTTTAACAAAATTGAAACTCCAATCAGTATTATATATACATGTAAAACAATATTAACTATGGAGAAATTAACATAACTGGTTCGAGTGGCCATATAAACAGGGTAAAATTATAAAGACTTATGCAGGTTGGGATTTCAGAAGGCACGGCCTTTGGCCGTATTATCGGGGTGGCTGCATTAATGGGGTTTTCTTAAAAGAAAATGTAAGAAAATGTATGGGCATTTTGCCGGGACCTAAAAAAGTGGTCGTAATAACAAAGTGACCATATTAACAAGGTGACGGTAGGGCAGGGTTCCACTGTACTTAGAGCACAGTATGATTGTTTGCATTATATAACAATCCAAAATGCATGAACTTTTGAATGAAAAAGTTCTTACATACAATGCCTGAAGTATTGAGGGGGTTGAGGCTTGCATGTCAAGTCAATGAACTTTCTGACAATGAACTTTGTGGGGTAACACCTTCCTTCAAGTGTTTAATAATATTAAAGTAGCAAGAAAAGATCCAGTCTGCTCTTTTGAATGGAGGTCAGTCCATGAAACAATCAACTTGAATAAAATCTCTCAATCTTGTTATCCCCAGACTGTTCACAGTCCCCTATTTT